ATTTTTGAGAAGGAAAAATAAAATCCACAATACTCAACAACCAGACAAGGATATTAAAAGCACAAATCCAACACAAGGCATACTAATTCGAGATAATTCAGCAGATAGATCAAGGGCACCCAATATTAGAAATCCCAGAGTACACAAAATAGAACTGCGAAGAATAAAAATTCAAGTGCGAAGAGACTTACTCATAACCGAGAATCAACGATGGATGGAAGTTCAGAAAAGCCCAAGAGAAATCGCCGGGAGATTAAATGTGTTTGCAGAGAAAATTTTGAGTACAGGGGAGTGCAGAAAGTGCGAAGACGGAAAAAGTCAAAAAATTGGCTAAGTGTTGATTTTATACTTCGGAGGGTAAAAAGGGGGAAAAGACGAAGACCGTCAGATTAAAGTTTGATCGTGCGGCGGAAAAATCAAAGTACACAGTACCCCAAGCGGGCGCGTTATGCGAGGGGGCGTCATCATTAAAGCGCCTGACACACGCGAACAGGGGGGACGCGTGTCAAAAAAGCAGAAGCGACAGAAGGGATTTGAAACAGACGACTTTATTGCTGGAAATTAATGGGGAATTATTCAAAAGAATAGGCGGGAAACCCGTCAGCTGGCCGATACCCGATGATAGGCCACCCAGAAGATCGATAAGCATGAACTCACTCTTAGATCGAGTCATTCAGACTCAACCAGAGTGGGGGGGACTAGATGATGTGGGATATTATATACACAAGGCCAAACCGGTCAGCTCAGCCGGTCGAGAAGACCAAGCTAGGAGGAGGCCAGAGCGAGAGACAAGAGGGTCGGTCATTTCAAACAGTCGACTAGGCAGTCGATCAACCAACCCATTGTACGGCTAATCCTGTAATCGAATAACCTATTGCTCGACCAGATATATGATCGAGCAACCCCTTGTTCGACCAGACGCAGGATCGAGCAGCCTGATCGAGGATCCCGTGATCGACCTAGTCACAGGCGCGTGGGTTGCAGATGCGCGTGAAAGCCCCTGACTGAAACTCAGGAGAATATTTACCCCATGTGCGGGAAGGACACGTGTCGACAATACATTGGGTGATAGCAATAACCACCTCTGACAGCTCCCAACGCCCTGCGCCACCTCTGACATGCACGCGGCATGTCAGAGTACGGACGGACAGCTTGGGCAGCCAGCTCATCCTTTTCCGGGCAGTCATTAGGGAAGGTATCTCACCCCTATAAAAAAGGGATGAGCCTTTCTTCCTTAACACATTCTATTCATTCTCTGAAATTCCAGTATACTCATACACATACTGACTTAAGCATCGAAGGCTCTTCACCGGATCCAAACCCTGGTGTGAGAGTTATTTGCAGGTTCCAGGCGTTCTACCGGCGAGGACGAGAACCGATCTACTCCAAACCGGACCCGAACACATACACTTGCATTACATAGGTCTTACCAACCAAATACTTAAACAC